ACGAGACGAAAACCCTAAACCCTAAACCCTAAACCCTAAACCCTAAACCCTAAACCCTAAACCCTAAACCTTAAACCCTAAACCCTAAACCCTAAACCCTAAACCCTAAACCCTAAACCCTTAACCCTCTAAGACCCTAAACATGGCCCTGGACCTGAACTCCGTTCTTTACCGTGTGCCTGCGGCCCATCGTGCCGGCACTCTCTAGCCGAATGGGTAGCAGCTCTCTGTTCGGTTTAGGGTTTAGGGTTTAGGCACGTTCCGCTGCACCTGGGCTCGCTTCCCAGTAGACGGAAGGTCGTGCTAAAGCGTAGCTGTAGACAACAACTGTAGTTCTGTGCCCTGATAAGCAAAAACCTCATGTCGACCCACCTATCATATCCTACAAGTGCGATTGTACTGATGCCCCCTCTCTCCCCTAAACATCTTCAGTTCAAAACCCTAAAACCTTATGATAGCACCCTCAAAATTCGTGAAAGGGGCGCTGCAAGCCACAATGAACACCTAAAACCAAAATCCCAAACTCAAAAAAACGCCGTAAGCACTGCACCCGGAAGCCCCTCACTGTAAGCCCAAAGGGCTTAGGGCTTGGAAAGCCCTCTTCAAAACACGCACTAAGAGCCCCACGATGTGCTAAGGAGCCCCTTCTAACAAACAGCAACCCTACAGTACCTGCACGACAACACCATAATTAGGAGTTCAGAGTTTAGAGTTTAGGATCCTCAAAAGACAGCCAAAAACTAAGTTCGTTATGAAGCGCCTGCAAAAAAAAGTCCTACTTTGTAAGATCTCGGCCTCCTCCGAGCCCGAGCCAGCGTTGGGGCTGCAGCGTTGCTCCTCCGTTAGGGCGTAAGCTCGACATGTTCCCACTTAATCCGTTTAGGATCGCATATAGGTCATATTATAAGGGTTTAGGAATTCGAGAGCCGGGTTTGGGGTATATTGTAGCAGGACTACAAGCTTAATGAGTCAGACTTTTTATGGTTGGCTTTAAAGCGTAGTTTTAATTAAAAGTTCAGGTGGGGTTTAGGGCTTTAGCATGTCGCAGTCTACAGACAGAAAATCTGCATCCCTAAACCCTAAACCCTAAACCCTAAACCCTAAACCCTAAAGTCGTTGGAGGACCAGCTCCTAATATTCACAATACAGACATATCAGGCTATGAATAGTAGCCCTGTTGTAGACTGT